AGACTTGCCGAATCCAGATGGTGGCCAGTGTTAGTTTGCATGCCCTGGATGGCTGGAAGGAAGCTTTCCATCTCTCCTGCTAAGTTGAGCTCGCTGAAGGAGTCAGCAGGCAGCCAGCAGCTGCTGTTTTGCCGACGGAAGGTGCACACACACACACACGCACGTTACAAAAAATAAACAGAGATGCAACAAATCTCTTATGCAGAAAAACATATTATATACCTCTGATTCCACCCCCAGAGCAGCACGGGGCTGAATGTAATCAAGAGTCCTTAAAGCTCAGGGCCACAAGTGACAGCTTTTATTTACAGGGCGCAGCAGCCGTCCCAGCGAGCAGATTAACTGCGGCACGGCCAAGGCTGGAGCAGAGACCGTGGCCATGGATGGCTCACCCTGCCCAAGGACGCCACAGCCAGGGGTAAGCCGTGGGTCTCCGTGGGGTAACAACCAGCAGAAGCCCCTCCTGGGTAAGGTGGGGCAAATTGGTGGACGCTGGAGCCCAACCAGCCTTCAGAGGAAGCGCTCCCTGTGCCCAGGCACCTGCTTGGGAAGCCCAAGGCTGGGTTGAAGCAATGGGGCTGGCTCTCTCCTCCTCCCACAGCACCCAGGTGTGCTTTGGGTGAGGAATCACGGAATTGTTGGAGTTGGAAGGAACCTCTAGAGATCATCCAGTCCAACTCCCCTGCCAAAACATGATTGCCCAGAGCACATCACTCAGGGCTGCATCCAGGTGGGGCTTGAAGATCTCCAGAGAAGGGGACTCCACGACCTCCCTGGACAGCCTGTTCCAGGGCTCTGGCACCCTCACCAGAAAGAAGTTCTTCCTCATATTTGAGTGGAACTTCCCATGTTCCAGCTTGTGCCCGTTGCCCCTCGTCCTGTCACTGGGAACCACTAAAAAAAGTCCAGCTCCATCCTCCCTCAAACTGCCCTTTAGATACTTATAAGCATTAATTAGGTCTCCCCTCAGCCTTCTCTTCTCCAGGTAAAAAGTCCCAGCTCTTTCAGCCTTTCCTCATCAGGAAGATGCTCCAATTCCTTAATCATCTTTGTCGCAGGAGGGTGTTGGTTTGCTCCCTCTCCCTGGGGCAGCAAGAGAGGAGCGATACCGCTACACACCTCGGAGAAAGCGAAGACAAGCCGCCCTGCTCCGAACTCCACCAACAAAGCGTTCCCTCACGGCTTCATCCCACTGATTAACGCAGAAACCACCTCCCCTGCTAATGCAAAGAAACTCATTAGCACCTCTTCCCAGGGAGAACAGGCTCATCTTTAATTTTTTTTTTTTTCTTTTATGTTCTTCTCCTTTCAGGTCCAATTAGCACAAAAATCTTAACTTGCCCACCCCTGCAAAGCTCGGGGCAGAGCACGGGGCAGCGAGCACCAGCTGGGCAGCGAGCATCGGGGTGGCCCCACAGAGCTTGGTTGTCATCGGGGAAGGGACACGTGGTGGGCTCACATGGCCCTTGGGTTTTTTGGCTTTGGCAAGACATTCCTCCCGTTAGTTGAGTGTTACGACAAGACAGAAGCACCGTTGGCTGCGCAGCTTTGATTCCTGTTGAGGTTTCTGCTGCGTTCCCAAAATTAAAGCAAAAGGCAGCTTCTTCAGTAGCACCGAGAAAAGTGGGATTCACACCTCTGAGTGATCAACCTGCTCTTTCCCAGGAGACCCTTCTCCCCAAAACCCCGACATATGAAGCTAGAAAAGCGCACACAACCTGCCCCAGGCAGTCCCTCTGCCTGCATAGGCATCACCCATCCTGCCCTCACCGGTGGGGATCTGCAGGGAGAGACCCAGCCCCACCACTGCCCCCAGGCAGAGGGGTCTCCTGAGACCCCCTAGCCCCAGGGAAGATGAGGAGAAAGATCTCATGCCGCACCTCTCAGCCACACCACAGCTGATGGGAGGGAATAATTAAGCCTCTGGCTATCTATCAATGGCTGGAAATTCTGAAGGTAACAGCCTGGACCGGGATGCTGGAGGCAGAGAGAGGTTTCCTCAGCCCAGAGGCTCCCCCTCGTAACTGAGACAGAAGTTTCTGTCGCTCCAAGCAAGCCCTCAGCTCAGGCGAAGCCCCCACCACGAGCAGAACCCCTTGCCCCAGGGCTCTGCCTCACCTTAGTGGCACCCACAGCACTGGGGGGTCACCCCAGCAGTGCCCCCCCCCAACCAAACCCCCTGCTCGGCATCCCTGGACACCCCAGCACTGCTCCAGCTGCAGGGGGAGGACTGGTATGTTCCTGAGGAGCTAAAGATGCTCCCCCAGTAAAACCAATTTTCGAAGGAAGGCTGAAGGACTCAGCACCACCAAAGCTAGAAGCCAAAAGGTACCATTTTGATGCAGTTTTTTTTTTTTTAATACTACAGTCATCTTTATTTCCCTAGAATCAGTCGTTTGTTTTCCAAATATATTTAGACCAACATCCTTCTTTGTTTAAGAGACGATGATAAACAAACACAATGCCAGCGACTCTCCTTAACATAAAACAGTAGGAGGAAAAAAAAACCTAGGGGGCCATTAGGAATTGTAATGCCAGATTAATTTTAAATGGATTTCTATTCATTTACATTTGCTCAGGCCTACATAATCCATTAGCCATAGCTTTGCGTGTACCTAATGGTTTGACATCCTCGAAAACAAGCGGCTCATCCTGGAGCCCGCTGGGACCAGTGGACGGACTGGGAGAGGGGGTAGAGAGCGGCTGTGGGGGCACAGGGGGCTGCCCCCCGAGGTGGCTCTGTCCCATCTCAGGACATTTTGTAGAGAGGCATCAAGAGGAGCAGAGACAGTCCCCAAAACAAGGGCAGGAGCTGGGCAGCTCCATCCCCACCACGTCCCCAGGCTCCTGGCTGCTCTCCCTTGGCCGAGCAAGGTCAGGCGTGCGCAGGAGCCCAGCTGCCACACACCCTGGCCTTGGGGAGGTCCCCACGGTCTCTGCCACCAGCGAGGCTTAGAAACCACCTCAAACCCTGCTGAGAAAGCCAGGGACACCGAAAGAACACCCCTGCGCTTGCTCAGCACCCCTTGCACCACCCCAAGGCGAACCCACAGCAGAAACCCACCACAGCCCCCCCGTCCCAAACAGCCCGGCTCGCTCCAGAAGGACCAGATTCTGGGATTACCGAGCAAAGGAGCTGCCATGTGACAGTTTTGTTATTAGATAGACACAAATTAAAACCAAAACGCGCTCCCGCAGCAGAAGCCTCCAGCGTTACCACCCCAGAGCTTCATCTGCATCGTGATGCGAAAGGCGAGAAGGGGCACAATTACACAGCGGCTGCAAACAGGATTATCTTAATGGAACGGAGATGTACAATCAAAAAACTATTTCCACGCCCCCCCAAAAACAGTGAGTGCCTTGATTATCTTAATGGAAACGGAGATGTACAATCAAAAAACTATTTCCACATCCCCCCCCAAAACAGCGAGTGCCTTACAAAGATGATAATAATGAGTTTTAGGGCATACACATGATCTTCCCCGCTGTATAATCTGCCCATTTCAAAACGATGTAGCTCTAGCTGCTCTATTACAGAAGTAAATTAACCCTAATTTGATTGCTTCTTCGTGGCAGTCGTTTCAGTGCTCTAATCAATAAGTCACAGGATTTTTATGACTGCCCTTGGTATCAATCACCGCAATCAATAATAAAACGCTTTTCATTTTAAGAACACCTGAAATGCCGTGTAATTACCTTTGTATAAAATTATGGACTCCAATTTACCAACTTCACCGAGCGCTGCTACAACCCACCGTGTCGCTCTGCACCTAAAGCCTATTTGCAGGCAAGAACATCGCTTTCTTTCTCAAGGCTTTCTGAGCCATCCCTCATCTCTTCCACTTGTCACCGTACCAGCAAGTTATTACTCACACCCCGGTGAAATAGCAGGTTACAAGAGACACCCATCTCCCAAGAAATCCTCCAAGAAAGTAGGATCCAAGATCCTACTGAGAAAAAGCGGTCGGGAAGATGCAACACTGGTGCGTGGCATCACCACCAGCTCTTCACCGCACCCACCCAGCACCACTGCGGTGCCAAAATGAGCCAAAAAGCCATCGCACAGTGAGATGATGCAGGCGGTACCCTGACAGCGGGGCAGGGAGAGCAAAGCCTACCCCAGGGATGCCCGCTCTGCAGCCCAGGGTGCCCATGGCAGCACGGCAGCCCCCCTTCACCAGGGGCTGCTTGGACCATGGTGTCCTCAGGCAGCACCACCTGCCCCAGCTCCCCAGCAAGGTACTGACGGGGAAACACAGCCAACAAAAGGTTTTCAGAGCCCCGGCCAGCCATAAGATGTTCCAACCTGGCAAAGGATGCTCTGCCCACACCAAAGCACTGCAGGACATGACCTGTCTCCCCTTCAGCCCCACATTCCCCACATGACCCCCTCTGTCAAGCAGGTTTCCGCTGTCCTTGCTGGTGCCACACAGTTCCAAGGCTGCCCTAGCACCAGCAGCGGGATGCTCCGGTCACTGCCAACAAAACTATCATTATCTGAGAGCTCAGAGACTCCTCAGCATGATCCCAAAGGGAACAGGGTCACCCCGGCACTGCACTCCCAGGTTGGCACCCCAAAGCTGTGCTCAGGAGATGTCTCCAAGGAATTCTGGTTTGTGTCAGTTTTGGTTTGGTTTGTTTGGGTATTTTTTAAAACTCTTAAAAACACTGAAACTGACTTAGGGAAATATTTTTACAGAGCCTCAGGCCTCAAAAGTTGCTCTGACATGATTCATCCCCAGGACCCAGAGCAGAGGACACGCTCCCTCACCCTCGTGCAGAGCAGTAATGAAGAGGCCACTGCCATCATATGGTTGCTCAGCCCCGAGGCAGCCCCCAGGTGCCCCAGCTGGAGCTGACACAGGTCGGGATGATGAGGTTTAAGTCCTTAAAGCAATATTTTGTTACTCCTCTGCAAAAGCAGTCACTCACCTGCCAGACCCCGTGGGCAGGGGCCGAGAAGCCACCCCCGGGGACGGAGGAGTCCCCCAGGCACTTACCCTGAAGTCAATTCCGACCGTGGAAATGAAGCTGCCGGCGAGGAAAGCGCCGTCTTTGAACCGCACCAGCAAGCAGGTTTTGCCGACCCCCGAGTCGCCCACCAGCATCACCTGGGAAGGAAAGGGGGGAGCGTTAGACACCGGGATTCGGGAAGGAAGCCCCACTGCAATCGTTACCCATCTCCACCCCAAAAGCCCCATCCCAGGAGCAGGCAGCAGATCCCGTACTCTTTGAGGGGAAAAAGCACGTCCAAGAGCAATGTCCTCAGACGCAGGGGAGGGTGGGGGAGAGCACCCACAGCAGGATTATTTCCCACCACGTGTGTGTCTGAGAACTGGTTGAACTCGAGACATCTTCCCCAACCAGTACTTAACACATCCCCCCTTGGGGGCACAAACACTCCTTGAAAAACCAAGAGGCAAGATGGCTGTGGAGCCCACCCTGTCCTCAGCAGACCCATGAAACACCCTGCATCCCACCACATGGAGGGTGACTCTGCCCTTGGGGAGACTTCAGGGGGGGCCACCAACCATGAGCACCAACTCCAGGGGTTTGCTCTGCCCTCTGAGAGCAAACTCCTTCAGCCTGACCCGCCCAGCTTCATGGTCACCCTCCCAGTCCTCAGCAGATGCCCAGGGAGCAGCTCCCAGTGCCACCTGCCTCAGTTTCCCCAGCAGCAGCCTCCAGTGCAGACAGGACAGGAACCCACCCTGCCACAAAGAAACCATGGCAGAGCTGAAACTGTCCCAAACGCAGCTCCCCAAAGCCTGTGCTCAAACCACAAGCCCTCCTGAGCCCTCCTGCCTCCTGGGGCCACCAACCCCACTCCCCTCAGCAGGACAACAGCTTCTTTCCATCAAGAAATCCCAGACCACGCAGCTGAGCTGCATCAGTGGCTCCTGCACCCTCACCGACTTGCACGGCTTCCCGCTGGCATGGCAGGGTTCCCTCTCTCCCCAAAGCACTGCCATTAGCCTTCTGCAAACCATTAGCCCGTGACGGAATTTAAATGGTTTTAAGGCAGGCACTGCCCTGGGTCACACCGAACCCAAGGCAGGAGCCATCAGAAGAAGCAACTTCCAGCATCGCTCTGCAGCTCAGCCTCCCCAGAGGCAGCAGGAGCCCCGGCCACAGTTTGGGGCAAGGTGGCCAGGATCTGGCCATGATGCTTCATCACTCAAATGGTGGGTGCAGAGCCCCACACCGAGTCCCCCCCAGGAGCACCACGCACAGCCACACACAAAGCTCTGGCACAACAGGGTTAGGGGAGCCAGCAAGCCCACAGGTGTATGTATCTGTGCAAAGCCAAGGGAAGTGGGGAAAAAAGTCAATTTTAGTACAAACTAGTGGTATTGATTTTTTTAAACTTTCCAGACCCCCTGTTCAAGAGCAGGGCAACCTTTAAAGGCAGCTTCTCCTCTCCCAGCACTGTTGAAGCCTCACCCAGGGTGCACAGCAGCACCCAGGGCCAGGCTTACACCAAGGGCTCAGCGATCAGGATATGGCCCTTGCCCTCTGGCAGAGCTCAGAATCTCAAGAGAAGGGTAAGGGAAAGAGAAAGTTTAATAAACCAGGGTTTTACTGAATATGAAGCAGTATTTCTCTGCCACTGGTTCAAAATCAGCCAGACTTATCAGAGATTTTGGCTACCTGGCACATTTGGGCTTATCTGAGACCCCATTCAGCTCATCCCTGTGCCATGGGGGCAATCCCCCGGGAAAGCCCCAGCCTGGGCAGTGAGAAGCGAGCTCAAGGAGCCAGGGGCGAGCACGAACACGGAGATGGCTCCATTTTGGGGAAGCTGTTGAACCGTTATTGCAGATGTATCAGGACCAACCACCTACCACAAAGCAACCAAATTCACTTCTTGAACGCCCTTCACCTCCTACCCCGTGTCCCAGATCTTTAACAGCGCGATGGCCAACGCCGATCGCCACGGGCACCGAGCTCTCCGACGGAGCGTGCCAAGGTCGGACTGGCCACAGCAAACACCCTCTTCTCCGAGCTTAATCACCCCGCGCCAGGTTACACAGACCCCTGGTAGGAAGGCAGTCAGATGGGTCGCGCTGACTTGCAGCCTCAGCCAAAATCTCTCAGCGAGCTCCAAGCTGGGCTTGCCATCAGGTCGCATGATGGAAAGGGGGGTGGGGGGGGAAGGAGTTTGGGGGGGATGCAAACACGTTTGATCTGTGACTCGCTTGCCAGAATCTGAAGCGGCGAGAAGAAGCCATCTGAGCCCTCCAAAAAACGAGCAAACCAGAGCCGTTTCAAGAGCAGCCAGAGCAGATTCGATGCGACTCGAGGAATATTGTCACCCC